TGTTATTATAGACATAAGGCTAATAGAATAATATAAAGCATCATGGACTAATCTAAAAACTTATAATTTCAGAAGACTTGTAATTAGGGCTATCGGCAAGTCATTTAATTACATTATTGGGTTTGTAGGTGAATCGGTTAAGTTTATTGACTAAGTATAAAACGTACTTATAACTTAATTCATAATTCTCACATGCTTGAAACATGAGGTTATCTAGTCATTTAGAACGTCATTCAGTTTTTCAATTACCTGTTATAATTATACTTTTATCAAGTATAAAAGAGTATTGACTTTGGTGACAAATTCACTAGTTTTCGTGGTCCGCTTGACGAATTAATATCATTCAATTAATTGAGGTTTTTAGTTGAGATAAAAAAGTCAGCGTCACGAGCGGGATTAGAACCCACGACCTTCGGCTTGATACGCCGCTACTCTACCACTTGAGGGAAAGGAGAGGAGGGAAATTCAAAAGGTGATGAGATGGGAAGTTAGTGGCCCGAGTGGATCGAAGTCACGATAGCTCAAGTGGTAGAGTAGCGGCGTATCAAGCCGAAGGTCGCGGGTTCGAAACCCGCTAGTGAAACTGACTTTTTTATCTCAACTAAAAACCTTAATTAATTTGGTGACAAAGTTATTATTGACAAGAAAGCGATCAGACTAATATAAACCTATAACTAGACTTGAATAGAGGTACACTTGGATTTTGAGTTATCTAAAAGTCATTTAGTCATATCATTTAGTTTTTAGAGTACTAAAACGTGCATCGGTTAAGTTTATTGACTAAATTGTTGTTCTTAACATAAGGTTAAAGACAACAATATTATCATTACATCTTTTTATGACATATTAATTATGCCTAACTTCTACATTTGCAATTTGAGATTATCGATGTCATTTAGTGGCATCATTTTAAGGTTATGTTTATTGACTAAGTTATTATTGCCATAAGGTTAATTACAGTCAATATGAACTTGTTTTAGCAAATATTAATTACTAATTCTCATACACCTGAAATACGAAATTATCAACGAGTCATTTAGTCACATAATTGAGTGTTTAGAGTATTAACGTGTGTATCGGTTCAATTTATTGACTAAGTTGTTGTTAACATAAGGTTAAAGGCAATAATATCATCATTATATTTTTTTATGGCAGATTAATTATGCCTAACTATTATACTTGGAATTTGGGATTATCGATGTCATTTAGTGGCATCATTTTAAGATTATGCTTATTGACTAAGTTATTATTGCCATAAGGTTAATTACAGTCAATATGAACTTGTTTTTATCAAATATTAATTACTAATTCTCATACACCTGAAATACGAGATTATCATCGAGTCATTTAGTCACATCATTGAATGTTTAGAGCGGTCAATTTATTGACTAAGTTGTTGTTAACATAAGGTTAAAGGCAATATTATCATTATATTTTTTTATGACAGATTAATTATGCCTAACTACTACACTTGGAATTTTGGATTATCAATGTCTTTTTAGTGGCATCATTTTAAGGTTATGTTTATTGACTAAGTTATTATTGCCGTAAGGTTAATTAGAGTCAATATGAACTTGTTTTATCAAATATTAATTACTAATTCTCATACACCTGAAATACGAAATTATCAACTAGTCATTTAGCCCCATTATTTAGTGTTATGGTTTTTAAATTTTAATTGTGAACTAAGAACAAAATCATGCCTCAGTTAGGTTTATTGATTAATAATAAAGCAAAGAGATCAGGGATGAATCCATGAAGGTAAAAAACTGGTTTTGTGATGTCCTTCCTCAAATACAGCCGAAAGCTCAACATGAGAAAACAAGTAGGTTTTTCTACATTCAAGGCTTCATCCCTGATCTCGTTGCTTTATTATTTATTGACTAAGATATATTTGAAATAAGACTGATTATATTATTACTATTAGGGAATTTTATGAAATCTCACTTTCGAACTCTCATGCACTGGGAATTTGGAACTATCGACAAGACATTTAGTCACTTCATTCAGTTTTTTTACATCTTTTGTCGTCAATCGTTTTACCAAGTACAAAATCGGTTTATTGTCTTATAAAGTTGCAAAAATGTGATAAACTTGTGTTGGTAACTTCATGAATTATTTAAATGGAACATCAGGTTTGAATATTTTTGGAAACGTTTTCCATTTTTTTTTTTTTTACAATAGTCGAAATTTTCGTATCGATGGACTGAATTGTCACATTTCTTCGATAAAACTTAAAGATAGAACCGTTCAAATGTAAACAAATCCCAGTCGGATGTTGGCCCAGATGCACTTTATACATTCTAAATTAAAATCAAAACAGTCTGGCTCTATTAAGCCGCTATTTGGAATTTCTAACGTCCCGTTTCATCATGTTAACCGATGAAAACCGCTATAAACTTCAGCACTATCGCCGTCATTTTCTCTTTTTCTACGCAATTACTTAAATCATGATACATTTCGTGAATGAAAGAATTCGTTTAAATTTTTCATACTTACTTCGCAAAACGGTATTTACAACGAAAAATCTTAATTTCCATGTGTATGACAATTAGAAACTAAGGTTTGTTAAAATGGCCTTATACTATTCTACAAAATTTTACCATCCTAGATCTATTAACTTGGTAAAACTACACTGAAGAACCTCATTTAGTACAGACTAAGTGATAAGACTATATAATTTCATCGATAATCTCAAATTCAAACTGTCCAAAAGTTATTGATTTGGCTTTGCTCAATATTCCTTACATGATATATCTCCTTATATTATAATAGTTTTATCAATAAAATTAACCGAAGCACGATTTTGTGTTGGATAAAATTGGGTTTACGATACCAAATCATAAAAACTTAAAAGAGAACCTTGTCTCAAATTAAGATTTGAGGGATTTATTTTATATCTATAGTCTTATATCAATAATAAGCTCAGAAGATGTTATTTACATTTGGTAAAAATTCTTCTTACAATAAATACCTGATCTAGAAAAAAACTAATTTACTTCTCCATGATAATCCAAAATTCCGAATACGAGAGTTATAGATTTACATTTGTTAAAACTTAACTTTATCCTTATATCACTGATAACTTGGTCAATAAACTTAAGCCAACTTATGGGAGGCACGGTTTTGGACTTGATGAAACTGAACTTCCAATAGCAGATCTATGACGAACTAAATGGCTTGTCTGTACTCCCACATTCGTATCGTGTGAGAGTTCTAAATTTAAAATTGCCAAAATCAAAACTTAATCAATAAACGTAACCGTATTTGTTTTTGACAACACTGTGCTTACGGTACTTCATCTCGCAGAGAGTAAATGATGTTACAAAATAATTTGTCTGTACTTCCAAATTTCAAGTGTGGAAAGCTCTAAATTAATATTTAATAAAATTACTTTATACTTCGGAATAATTTTAATTAATTAAAATTTAATTAATTACTTTACTTACAACATCTCATTTAGAAAAACCTAATTGGAACCAATTTTTAGTAAAAAAAAAGACCTGTTATGTATTTTTGCAATTCGAACCAGGAAAAAATCTTTCAAATCAACAATTTTCCTATATGTATCTAAATACATTTTTTTGTATAAAGATAACGAATATTTCGTAACATTGTAAATGTTAGGGTAATGAACTTACCATCGTTTACGTATTTTGTTTGATCACTTTAGAGCTGAGGTTTTTTTTTTGTTAATTATAATTATGAATAAGACATCTTATTACAAAAGGCATGATATTTACACATTTCACCAGTTGGAGCTTAAAAAAAACTCTTTCCGTCTATTTGAATTTATCATAATTTACGTATTTTATTGGTTCCCTTTTGAGTTGATAAAGTTTTTTTTTTTGTTAATTTTAATTGTATTATAAGATATCATGTTATTACAAAAGGCATGATATTTACACATTTCACCAGTTGGAGCTTAAAAAAACTCTTTCCGACTATTTGAATCTACCATTTGAATTTATCATAATTTACGTATTTTATTTGTTCCCTTTTGAGTTGATAAAGTTTGTTTTTGTTAATTTTAATTGTATTATATCATGTTATTACAAAAGGCATGATATTTACACATTTCACCAGTTGGAGCTTAAAAAAAAACTCTTTCCACTATTTTAATCTACCTATTTGAATTTATCATAATTTACGTATTTTATTTGTTCCCTTTTGAGTTGAGAAAGTTTTTTTTTGTTAATTTTAATTGTATTATAAGATATCATATTATTACAAAAGGCATGATATTTACACATTTCACCAGTTGGAGCTTAAAAAAAACTCTTTCCGTCTATTTGAATTTATCATAATTTACGTATATTATTTGCTCTCTTTTGAGTTGCGAAAGTTTTTTTTTGTTAATTTGAATTGTATTATAAGATATCATGTTATTACAAAAGGCGAGATATTTACATATTTTAGCAGTTGGATTTTGAAAAAAAAAAATCTTTCCACCCGACAACCTTTCTATTTGAATTTAACATCATTCAATTTTGTTTGTACACATTTAAGTTTTTCTTTGTTAATTTTAATTGGACTATGAAATATGAGAAAACTCTTCCTTCTTTTTGTGGTTTTATTTTGAAATAATCTATCTTAATGTGTGGTAATTTTGTCTTACTTGGTGTTATTGCAAAACACGTGTTATTTATATATATTTTTTATTTAAAGCCAGGAAAAAATGTTTCTATTCAGCAATCTGCCTATTTGTATAGAAACACATTTCAGATTAGGGTTTTCTTTGTTGTATAGTAACATCGTAAAAACAAGGCGTGCTTTGTGCTTTGTGGTCGAAGTATAGAAAGTTGAGCAAAAATATTCACCTGATTTACGTTTGCCCGTCTCCCAGACACACAGACTAACAATAATTTCATAACGATCAGATCAATCTAATATTAAGTTATTGAAAATTATAATGATGAGATTTTTCGGTTCGTAAAACGGGAGGGGGTGGCGAGCATGGAGGGGGAAGGGGTTGGTATATAAGGCACCGTTAGCACCGCCCGATGTTTCATATGAGGAACACCAGTGACTTGTAAAGTGCCAAGAAAATCCAAATGTCGTCTTCGAGTGGAAGCTGGAAGAAGCGGGGGATGCTCACCGCCCTCACCCTCCTGGCGGGGATCGTGGCCACCTCCCTGGGCCGGCCCGTCGAGGACAGGCTCTTGGCCGCCTTACGCGAGCTACCCGAAGAAAAGCTACAGATTCTCGAAGGTCTCGCTTACCTCTGGGACGAAGAAATGCTTGGCGATCAGCCCCAGCCTTATAACGACACCCTACAGATCAACGATAGAAACTCCAGGTAAGACTTTTTAATCACCTCACACTGAAAATAAAATATTATATAAAAATTTATCATCCTGTACATAAGACGAAAATGTACTTATAAACATGTAGTCCTGTCCTATTAGTTGTAACCAACAGTACATAAAATCTATCTCCATGGCCAGAATTGTTTTTCGACAGCAATGGAAATGTCCTATCTCTTATAAACAGATTTTCGACGTATTGACACGTAAATATTCCAAAGGCGTATCGAAACGATTATATGGCTACAATTATTTGCCTGTATTTGATAAACATAAACAACCTTCAATAAATAAAAACTCAAACCGGCCAAACAAAACAAATTTCAAATCAGGAAGAATTGTACAGTTCCACATTTTATCATTCCAGGCATCTTCCAAAACTGAAGGACCAAGCCGAAAATTTGCACTGGTGGAAATTATTTTAAGACAAACCTCATTTTTTCTTTGATGTTAGTAATTTCCAAAGCAGGCAGTGGTGAAACTTAATAACTAATAATAAAATAACTTTCTACTGCACCAGCCAAATCCGCCAAATCGAAATTTTAAAATATTCAAAATTTAAAATATATTCAAAAGCGATCAGGGATGAGAATAAATAATCACTCTCTTCGTCCAACTTTCAAGTAATAATATCCTCTTTTTCTGTAAAAATTTAATTATTAATAGTAAAAGCTAAAAAAAAAATATGAACATATATTAACCGTAGGTTTCAATGGTTTTTGCAAAACATCGTTGTTTTAATATATGACTGTAATCAATAAGACTATTAAATTATAATGGAATTATTTTTAAAAAGTATAAAAAAATTAATTATGTAATTTAATTAAATATTTAATTTTATTAAATTTATGTCATTTAGTAAAAATCAAATTCAAAACTCCCTTCTCACCACCCTTTAAATTAAACTTTGTAAAATATTACAATTAATTAAGGTTTTTAGTTGAGATAAAAAAGTCAATGGCAAGATCGTGGGTTCGAATCCCGCTCGTGCCATTGACATTTTTATCTCAACTAAAAACCTTAATTAATTGTAATATATTAATTGGTCAAGCTGACCACGAAATTAGTGAATTGTAAAATATAATTTTTCTTTAAACACAATTATAAAATCTTAGTACATGTTTACTTATTTTTCAAGTAAAACAAATTGTTACTTGATTTTAAGTTCGATAGTTTACAAGCAGATGCAAAAAAATAAATATGTACTTTTGGCCCAATAATTGCTGTCATTGTTTTAAAGGGAGTAGCAATGGTTTTTTGGACGAATAGATTTGTTTTAACCTGTATTAATTTTGATACGGATCTCTTTTTCTGGATATTCTGTATTTTCTGTTTAAAAATCAAATTCTTAAATACCTTTTTTCAGCACTTTTTAGGGTTATTTTGTTGTTCAAAGAGAAGCTGAAATATTGTCATTTTTGGTATCATTTTCTCAAAATCTATATAGTCTATTAAAACTAATTTTACAATTAGTTTATTTAGTTGTTCTCAATACGTTAGGAATTCCAGGCGTTTTTAAAAATAATTAATCGTTAATGTTTGACAACAACCTAAAGCTGTATAAAAAAATTAAAAAATTTGAAAGTGAAAAAAATATTTTCTCAACCTTTCTCTATTTCATAATTTGTTAAATTACTACATTAAAATTCCAAAATTTTGGTATTTTCTTATAGTTGTTCTGATTTCTTCTTCGTCATTGTTGAAAATAAAGATTTTACAAACGATTTATTACAGTTTTTAATGTTTTGTGTTTAGTTGATTGAAGATAAAACTTTAAAAAAACTTTATTACAAAATAAGTCAAACAGTTAACAGAAACGAGCAAAGCATCCATTGAAAACGTAGACAAAAGTTTTACTCAAGCTACTAGACAAAGGTAGACATTCAAAACATGAAAGATATATAAAAATGTTTTTTAATGTTTTTTGCACAAATATTAAAAAATTTAGAAGTCTTGTCACCAAACCAATTTCCGAAATTACAAACTGAAAAAAGCTTTTCAATATTGGTGGGAATTTTTAATTCTATTATTTAAATATCTACACGTTACAAATACGAACATTTTAATGTTCTAACAATATAATTTTGTAAAAGTTTTTCGGTTTGTGTATAAATTTGCTTTTATTTCAGAGTAAATATTTAAAGCATCAGGCTCACAAGAATGACACATCTACACGGAAAACAAACACTCAGAGCCCTGAAGATGATCTCAATAAAGATCAAAACGTTGGCATGATAAAGAAAATGTTTTTCTAAAACCTACCTACCTACCAGACCGCACCTCACGATCTCCAAATAATCATTGGCTAACGGTCACTAAACACCACACATTTTAAACAACTCAAAATTTTACACCTGCAAGTATGGCCCAACGCTTTCGATTAGTTTCTTCCATCTTTCTAACAGTGATTGGATATGATGTCGGTACCAATGGTTTTGTGACTAAAACTGTTCGCATCCTTCATATCCTTGCAGTTATCGAAGTGCTGCCCTTTCAAAAATAATCATGGAGCGATATATAAACCAGATCGTGGAATATCTTGGTTATATTCAGGGTTGCAGGGGGCAAAACGCATTACTTGCGGCAATTTTGCCCGTCAAAACAGGCATAAACTCTGCCTAAATGGTCATAGTAAAGTCTAGAGTCAATTACTGGGCCATCAAGAAATACCGCCAAACACACAAACCATCACTTTTTCCAAAAACAATCTTGGTAAACCTCCGGTTGTCCATCTTCCACCAACTGTTCAAGCTTTTTTACGAAATCACTGGTGACTTTAGTTTCCTTTTATTTTACTGTCATACCTCTGAAAGTTCAATACAGTTAAGTTAGTTGAGCACTTTCTTGGATTCCTCTTCGCTAATTTCCCTAGGCGTTACTACAGCTTACGGTTGCTGGGATTTTTTAAATATACGTTGTGTTCGTACATACTTTTCATCAATTGTAATTAAGCTAAATACTAAACTGCAAACTGTCGGCTTCGGCCGACAGCAATGACTGTCTTTACGAACTATGACTTCAGATCTGTTCTTGGAGCTATTTTTCGTCAACACGTGTCAATGCCTTTGTGTGTCTTAATCCACATTGTTTATACTTGTTTAACTATTCTATCCAAAACAGACTAACATTTCATACGGTAAATAATTATGTGAAGTGTGCGGTTCTACGGTGGCCTACGTTCGTCACGCTAGCGGTTCTGGGTTCGAATCCTGGCACAGCCTATGAAATTTTGAAATTTTGAGAGGGTATTTGAAAATTTAGAAATAAAAAATTAATAAAGTGGTTCTGCCCCCTTGTTAAAATCAAATAGTGATTTTAAACAGCGTTTCTATTTAAAAATTATATATTTAAAATATAAAAAAACTAATATTTTACACGAAGAAAAGGAGGTTTTACGTAATAAATCAAATTTGTTTTATTCAAAACTTTTTACAACTAGACATAGTACAAATAAACGTCATTTTGTAAAAATATTATTTCTACAAAATTATAATCAAAAAGTCTTGTTTAATAGAACCATATCTATACAAAAATTTGTTCCTGATTAAGACTGAAAATCAGTCTAAAGCTCGAGCAGAAAAATGATATTTTGTTGATTTTTTTTTTAACCAAGAGGTCTCCAAAATGTACCTTAAAAATGCAAAGAAATGTAAAAATGAACCTTTAAAGAAATTCAATTCACTAGTTTCGTGGTCCGCTTGACCAATTAATTAAGGTTTTCAGTTGAGATAAAAAAGTCAATGGCACGAGCGGGATTCGAACCCACGAACTTCGGCCTGATACGCCGCTGCTCTACCACTTGAGCTATCGTGACCTCGATCCACTGGAACACCAACTTCCTACCTCTACCACACCTTTTGAATTTTCCCTCCTTTTTGCCATTTTTCAAATGTCGTGTAATCAATTTCATTCTCGGCGACAAATGAAATGGCCACGGAGAGCTTTAGTGAAGGTATAGTTCATTTTAAACTTATTCATTTATTTTTGCCAAGGAGGGAAAATTCAAAAGGTGTGACTTCGATCCACTCGGATACTAACTTCCCATCCCAACCCCATCCTTAGTATTTTTGTAAAACGATATCGATATAAAAACATTTTATGCAATAGCGAAAAAATAAAATTTTAAAGGCAATTTTATTTCATTTCATTAAAAAATCAGGAATAAGGCCAATTTGAAAGATAAGAAAAGTATTTTAGTCAAAGATTCGAGGAATAAATTCGTTTCACTGGGACTTTGAAACTATTCTTAATAATTCACAAGGTTAACAAATATGAACATCTATTTACTGTACTGAAACATAATTTAAAAAATGACAGAGTGAGTATCTATTATGAATTATGATTATGAATGATTATGAAATTATGAAAAGGATGGTTCTACTCACAAACTAGGTTTAGCAATGATCCTGTTTCTATCATGAAATGCCCATCATCAGACTAGCTGGTAATCTACAAGTACGTTTTCCTCACCGATTGTAGTCAGTTACTTTCAAATGATTAGCACGTCATGATGAATCTATCATAGTTTGATTATGAACATTTACCCTCGAAATTCGAATCACTGCAAAACCAGTATGAGAATAGAACCATATATAGTTTTTTAATACAGAATTATATATGTAAAAATCTCATATCCATGATAATTTTATTCAAAGATACATTTTATATGAATTTTGGTTTATAGATAGAACGCATACGACAGCCGATTAGTGATGTAGGACGATATCACAAGAAAAAATGGTTCAAGCAACAATTTTTCAATTCAATTGTTCAAATGTCTATAACAAAATATTTAAGAGATCGTGTTAAATATTTTGTAAATATTTCATATAATATTTTTACACTAAAGTTGTTCAGGATGCCAAACTATTTGCATGACGAAACTGGGGTTTTATGCAGTAGCTCTTACAGAAGAAAAAAAACCAGTAAAGCGTGCCTTTAGATAACAAATTTATAGAAAAAAATCCAAAAGTTGATGTTTAAATAATAAACA